AACTTTTGGCATAAAATATATTACTCCAGGATTACTTCTGTGTTTCCCCTCAAAACGCATTCTCACACAGCTAACGCCAGCAGCAGCTTTTGTTTACAGTTTATTTTTACAGTTTTCTTACCTATTTTGGAAGATGCCAGAAGGGGAAGGGAGAGAGAGAGACAGAGAGAGTGAGAGAGAGACAGATAGAGAGAGAGAGAGAGAGGGGGGGGAGAGAGAGAGAGAGAGAGAGAGAGAGAGAGAGAGAGAGACAGAAAGAGAGTGAGAGAGAGAGAGAGACAGAGAGAGAGAGAGAGACTGAAACTGCCAGCGCCAAAGCATAACAACCCAGGGCGAATGGAAATTAGTGGTGTCAACAACAAACTACTTGCTACTCTGCTTACCAGTTTATGAGATAGAATAGTGAGGAAGATACTTATTTCATTGCGTGGCCCATTTAGGACAGTCTGTAAGCTAGCAGCTAACAGTGATATATGCACGGTGGGTAACGACGACTAATTTATTTCACTCACAAACATTTCTTACCTTGATACTTGCAACCAAATTCACCACCACTCTGAACAACTAACCAACAATGTGCAGCTGTGATCTATCACAGCTCCTCTGATGAATACTTATATAAGCTCTGAGCCTTTCTGACACCGTGCGACACAACACCGCCAGGCCAAACAACAAATAACAACAGAGATACATGCAGGGTGTTGTAAGGAAAAAAATAGCACCCAAAGAAAACATTTTTTTAGCAGTATTTTACCATTATCATCAACATATAAAAACGTATAAGACACATGTAAGTGGATAGCAAATAAAATAATAATATTTGTAGTGTAAACATAGCAAGTCTGGTTCCTAGTACTATAATGGTGAACAATTTTGACTCTGTAAATTTCTCTAGAAAGGAGACTTCACTCCAAACCATTCTGGATGATTTTCTTTACATCTAAACCACTGAATGATTGAGTAATTTTGCAAAATCAGTGGAGTTCTTTACCCATCTCAATTAATCTTCACACTGCAGCAGCCTAAAACCAGCACTGTAAAACAATCACCCTCCCAGCCCAAAATGTTTTTTCCCTTTGTCCTTAAAAGAATAAAAACACAAAGAGGTAAAAGGTCTGAACCGATGTGAGTCTGATACCTTGCCAGATTAATCCTGCAATCTAATATCCTCGATGACTGAGCAAGGCCACATAGCCTGTTTGCAGTACAACACTGATGTAAATAACTGTTGCAGGCCAAGCGAGTCTACATGGGGATGCAGGCGGTGTGGGATTTCTTCTTAACAACCTCCCCTCATCTCTTTTTCCAAAACAAAAGTAAGTAGCTCTGCAGTTTGGAGGCTCTTCGGGGGTTGTCTCCCAGCTGAACCGAATCATTCAGCCAGAGCCACTGAGATCTGATTGGAGAAAATTCAACTGCAAAAATTCATACGGTTACATAACTGTAAACTCTGGCCTTGTAGACTGAAACAGCAATGACACTGTTACTCACTAACCCTGAGCACGTTTAAAAAACTGACTCTTTTATAATGCTGGAAGACCTCCAGTCGTTATCAGTTAAGACTCTTTAATTACTGTTGTCTTAAATTAGTGACAACAAACGTTGGATCACTTTCATATGTAATGTAAGACAGTGTAGCCATCAAAATAGCACATGAATAGTGGACTGTATGAATCAGTGAAAGAAGCTCTTTCTGGAGAACTTATGTTGAAATCAGGAGAGCAGTACTGAGGCAGTGAACCAGCACAGCTTTGTTCACTTGAAAGCCTTTCTTTATCTCATCTGAGGAAGGTGGTAGTAGCAGTGGTCTTAAGTGCATTCTCCTTCATGACTACAATGCTTTAGGTCAAGCTAGCATTAGTGTGGCCCACTAACCTCTGCCTTGACAATTACCTAACTAACTTACCTATATCTACATATATATATCGGCTTGCCTACGCCATAGCCATCAATAGCTATCACCCAATCATAGCAGTTCATAACCTTTCATTTTCACTTTTACAGGAAGTCCGTTTTTTAGTTCATGTAATAGTGCCTTTATCTGTTTAGAGCAAAAAAGGATGTGCTAGTGCAGAGTGAATGAAAGAGAAGCCAATATATGAGACGGAAGTCATAAATCAACCTGACTGTGCTATTTGGAAGCATGTGAGCACATATCTGACTGCTTCTCAAATTTAGGAGGACACATTCGTCTTGGTTACATTCTGTATGTGTCTTTGTGTACATGTACGTGCGTGTGTGTGTCTCATGTTGCAGTGGTTGCAGTCTGTTTTCTTCTGTCCTGTGACCCTCTGCAGCCAGACTGTATGCAGGACTATAATCACTCTCACAGATTTATGCTGTAAAAATTAGCAAACATTTACTGACAGAAAAAACGTCTGCTTGAATCTCATGCAGACTATATTGTGACTATAGATGACAATCTTCAAGGACAACAGGAGACATTATTGTACGACTGACCTAAATAAATAGATTTGATGTGAATCATGACCTGCGCCATGTTTGGAAGATTCTACCTCCATAATTAATTGGACTTCAGGTTGAATTCAGTAAGTCTTAACTGATAAGATTTGGGCTAGGATGGATATGTCAAATTGCATTGTAGCGTGATCGAAATGTCCCGTTGTCTCTTGGTTCACATGAATTCAGTCACCTGCACTCTTAATCCCATTGGAAGCACAAAGAACCGTAAACAAGCACCAGAGAAGTGACCGTGCAAAGACCTCAGTCTTTTATATGGACAGAGTATGGGAGCAAGGACGGCTTTTGAATGTATTCACAACAAACCTCCACTATATAACAAGGCAATCAGAATATTCTTAGGTTTTGTTGTCCTTTTCACACATGAAAGCCAACTGCCCTCTCTGAAAATCAAATGCTTTGCAATGTTAAATCAAAGGCAAAAACTGGTGCACATGGAAAGCACGCCAAGATTACCACTCTATGTATATAACAGAGTGTCATGGACACAATTTTAATGCTGCATGTGGCTCCACTGCACCGTTTTCCAGGTCACCACAGTTGCAACTGAAAAAAAGAAAGTGTGGTAATTGCACATGCAGCCTGTGATTGGTCCATGAGGAGGTCAGCTTAACCTTGCAGATATCAACACCCATTCCACATGCAACAATCTATGGATGAAAGCTATATTTTCCCTGTTGTCATTGCTTTCAAAAAATTTGCTAAGCTATATTTTTCCATTTACAAGATGCTGTGTGTCCAGCTGTGCAGCATCTATGACTGCAGTCCACCTCTGCCAAGGGAAAATGCCATCCCGTCTGATGTAAATGCACGAGGTGCTGCCTGCAAATGATTAACCCCTCAGTTGCCTTGTAGTAAAGAAGACTCATGATTTTCTATTCCCACAACAGTATGGAATGTGTTGTGGTTTACCATAAGCAAGTTTGCTGCAATCATTACACATAGTCAGCTCAATGCACTGCTATGTTGCGCTTACTGATGTGGATTCCCTACAAATGAGGCCAGCAGTCACACATACCGTCACTCATACAAGGCCTGTCAAAACATGCCTTTGGGCACCCCTAGACATCTCCATCACCCTCTCCTAATTGGTGGATGGACTGTGTTGTGGTCATTGCAGCAGCACGCGATAGGACATAGCTGAGATGTTTATATGACATGACAGAACAGCCCATAAGGACAAAAGCCTGTTTGTGATGCAGCTAAATTGCGGTTGGATGGGAGCCAACACACTCTTAGTATCTCCCACAAAACAAACAAGCATAGCAAAGTGAAGAGTGCCACCTAGTGTCTACCCTCTTACTGAGACACCTTACGCTTATAAGCTATGTAATTTCTGTAGCAGACGATAGTAGGCTAAAACAATAAGAGAACATCCTAATATTAGAATTCCAAAAACAAATCTGGCAGATTAATTAAAAGATTTTACATTATTGCTGGGCACAAAATATATATTTGGTAGTTTAGGTGCATGTATCTTCTGGTGAGAGTTTTGCCACTATGGCTGTGATGACATTCACTACATCCAGTCATTTAGCTCTAACAGAGGTTTTCCATTACTGTGAACAGCTTTAGGAAATTGCATGGCGTGTATGAACAAATGGCCTTTCATAGGAAATCAATATTATAGGTCTCCAGAATACAGCCAGTGTCATTCAGGTTTTCAAAGATCAACCTTTATTTTCACTTGGTGGCAAGCCTGCCATCAACATAAGCCCTGTGTGACTCCATGAGTCCAGCCTGGAACTTTCTGGCTGGGTTTAGTTGCAGAGTGAGTCAGCAGGGCTCAACAGAAGGCCCAATCACAGTCACTACAGCCTTCATCCCTGCCATTTGTCATGAGGGTACCCTTCCAGGCTGGGCAGAATAGGTGAACACAGCCAGCCAAATAAAGTACCATATTTTAGTTTCAGGTTTTATCAGCCATACTTGTTCGTAAGCATCATGTAAATTAGTCAGAAAAAGCTGCAAATATTCAGTTTTTGGATCATTCTACCAAAGTGGTTCAAAATCAGAGTTGACTTTTAACTGACTTGGAGTTCAGACTAAAATACTTTTGCTTTGAATGACACATTAATTAAAACAAATGATTGAACATTCAATTTTGCCACTAACAAAACAATCCTAACACTACTGTAACTGTTTAGGTAGTGAAACTTCAGCTAATTTTGACTCAAAACTCAAAAACACTAGCCAGTACAAAACTAGCAAACACAGCTTTGAACAGTTACACACACACACGTCATAATATTTTTCATTAACATACAAAATAGTTTACTTAATTACAGGAAATATGTGTTTTGGTAGAGACAATCATTAAGGTTATACACTGATTTTAAAATTTACTTCAAAACAATGGGATCTACCTGCCCATCATGTGGCCATGAGAGACAGGGATGCAGTCTCATTTCCTGCCCCAAAATGCAGGGGTGTGGCTAAAATAAGGCTCCACCTCTGGATTAAAACTTTGTGTTTTGGTAGTGACATAAAACATGAAATAGCATTTTTTGAATAATTGTTTTTATTTAAAAATTAAACTTACGATAAATCTACCTCTTACAATCTTAAATCTTTCAGTTTAAAAGTAACACTGAAAAAAATGCAAAAAAAAAAATTAAGTATTCTTTTCACAAGTTGAAATGTAGGGGTTAGGGTTTGGGACAGCCACCTCCCAATAGAAAGCATAAATGAGGATTTTGTATATTTTTAGCTTATTACCATCTCAATGCCTTGGATTCAAATAGATCCAAGGCATTAGAAAAAAAGTCTTGTCAATATCAAAGGTTTTTATTTTATTTTTTACTGTAAGGTCACAGTTTGAACTAATTTACAAGAATGGTCAATATCATTCTATCTATATATTCATATAAATATTTATTAATCAATATTTTAGCTGTTCAGCTCGCAGTCGACCTCTGCTAATGGAGAGTGCCCACGACATACTGTCCAATGCAGCTGCATGAAGTACTGCTTGCAGTTGGTTGACCCCTCAGTAACTTTGACTTAAAGAAGATATTTTAATATCTTCTAATATTACGCAATATTTTATCCACACCATAGTATGGAGTAATACGCAGCATGGTATGTCATAAATAAATCTACTATTAACATGATATATGATACTCAGAAGTGCAACGGTGCAAAGCATCCATCAAAACAACACTCTGAATGCTTTGATTACTCTTCCTTCCATGAAACTCTGAAATTCGGAATGTAAACTGGAAAAGTGCGAATGCCCTCCCCTACTGCTGAACTGATTTACAGTTTGTCAAGTAAACACTTGTTCCCAGAATTCTCAATTTTCACGCTTTTAAGCTTACTTAATTCAAACAATTCCTGTAAACACGTTGCCTAGCTTTGGTGAAAATGAATACATTCCACAACATCATTACATATGTAAATGCAAGCAGGTGTTCACTTAAAGGATATGTTAGATGTGAAAGTAATGGGAGAAGACAACATAGAACTAAGGAACAGAACAAGGAAATGTCAATAAGAAGAGCAATATCATAAGTCTCTATTAAGACACACTGAATCACCTCCTATATTTTACCTGAGAAGTGAAATAAGCCATGGCTGGCAACATGTTTTGAAAATGTGGTCCATCCTTGATGTCAGTAATCTGAGTGTGAGTTAAGATGAGGGCACCAAGGCTGTCTATCACAGTGAAGAGAAGCTTCAGGCCTGTTTCTCTGTGACTGAAAGTCATTACATGGACATGAGTAATGTGCAGAGTGTTTGTAGTTTGTCTGAATGAGTGAAGGGAGGCTGTTGTGCAGTTGTTGAATGATAGACGTACGTGGAGGTAATCAAATTCTCCCTGAAGAGCTGCATCAGCAACGGTTTCAGTCTTCACAAACAACTTTGTTTCTAGGCCAAGCAAGAGGTAAGTAAGGCTGATGTAGCATTTCTAATGATTATTTAAAACCCCAGTCTGGAATTGTAGCCAAGCTGTAGCCAGCCAGGCTGAAGCAACAACAGTTCAATCAAGAACGCTAGAAGACTGTAATAGATAAGGCATATAACATGTATGTTTACTGTGTCTTCTATATTGATAAACTCAAAGCTAGTCCTGGTGAGAAAATTATGGTAACTCCTGAGTAGTGCTTAGCAAGCATAACAAAGGTAAGATGTTAATTTGCCAAGCATCATGACACTTTTTATATTATTGGCAATCAGAGTTTTACCCAAGTTCTGAATGTCTCCATGCCTAATGTAAAAGTCACTTTGCAGCCTAACTTTAAAAGTCTTCAATTTCTCTCCTAGTTGTTTCACTAAGCTGCAAAAATAGGCTGTTACTTCTGCAGCTGAACAAACTGTTCACATTGTGTTGGTCCTAATGGTCAGACTGTTTAATTCCAGGGGTTACTTGATCCACAGGAAGCCGATTTGAGTGCCAAAGTTGATGCCATCTCTAACATGAGAGAAGAAGGAATCAGGGTGGCAGGAGGTGCATATAGTGAGGTTGGGTCGGTCTGTCACTGTGTCATCATGGATGTGCTCTGGGAGAAGCCCACCTCTCTCCAAGAGGATTCTAAAAACACAAGTTTGAGTCAGGATATACTTCAGTACAGCTACATACAAAATGAACTTTTTCCTAAAATAGCATCATTCTGTGCCAATAAGATGTACAGGTTCAACTAGCACAGATGCATATTTTTATTTTTTAACTTAAATATGGACACATCAATTTTTGGCAGTATTGCTATAGTGGCATTTATTACATCTCATCAATCACCTGTAAAGTATGTAAAATAGTACAGGTTTTGCAATCTTCTAAATGGTTTTAGGAAATTGCATGGTCTGTATTAGAGGTAGCCTTTCAATAAAATCAATATACTAGGTCTCCAGAGTACACATTAATGCAAAGCTTCAAAGCTCAACCTTTATTTTTTACCTGGTTGCAAGCCTGATATCAACATAAGGCCTGGGTGAGTCCATGTTTCTGACACAGTCCGGATGGATGGCCTGGAACTTTCTGGCTGAGTCTTGTTCCATAGTGAAACAGCAGGGCCCAACAGAAGGCCCAATCACAGCCACTATGTTAACAAGCTTGCTGCCAAACTCTAGCACCATGGCATTCACTGTTGCCATGGCAATCCCCATTAGGGTACCCCTCCAGCCTGTAAAGAGGCAAGGAAGCCAAAACAGCATCATATTCAAGTTTGAGCTCTCACTAGTATTCTGTTGAGGACAGTGTACACGTTTTAAGTAAAATGTATTTACCTCTGATTAGTCATAAAACAATATGAATAATGGTCCTGGAGGCATGCTTTTCATCATTCGACAGAATTGTCCAACAAAAGAATTTTAAACTCTCATTAAAGTATTATAAATGATTTAAATGGGCTGGTAAGAGTTCTAACAGATCCAAACCCAATTGTAACTGCAATAAAACCTGAAAAACAGCACTCTTAATGACTAAACGATGAATTTTGGAATGCTAATTCCAACTGAAACAATTCACACAGAACATGCTCACAGGGAACCTCGATTTTGCCTTCAGCTTGATTGCAATACATTCTGAACATCAGATATTTTGGTTTGTTTAAAATACTGAATGCATTGTCTTTTTGGTTTACTTTCCTGAAGACCAAGAATGAAGTGAAAGTGTTTCTTGTCATCAGATAATCCAAACACTCTTTTACTGCTCCCTATGCAGATATAAGCACAAACCTTTTTAATATAATAAATAAATAATAAATATTGTTGCTCCCTTAATTGAACTTTGCAGTCTGAATAAGCCTTATAGCTATAATATTTTTTTATTCTGGAAACTGGGCTAGGATATGTGGTGGCAATACAGCAGTACTACACAATTACACTGCACACCAAAGAAATAAGATTCAGTCTCAACAAGTACCACTTGAAAAAGGTGCTACACTAGTTGGTATCTTGCTCAGTGATAAAGGGTGCAGATGAGATGTTTGGCAACATAGAGGTGAAATTCATTTCTTTACATCATTGTTGAGCTTTTGTAGCTAATGATAACACCTGTTGGTACATGCACTTACACAGCACCCAATTCAATTGCCATACCTCATCAGAAGAGAAATAAGAAGAATGGGTTCATTGTATATGCCTGTGCTAACAGCCCTGCTAGACAGAACAGAAAGAATGAACATCTGAATGAGGGCCAGAGTTAAGTGCTACTGAATCAGAATCAGTCAGATTCCAGTCCACCTAATAAGATCTCTCTACAGATATAACTGTTGGAGCTGCACACAGGAAAACAGCATATACTCCAGACATTAAAAGAAGCTGTTATTCACTTTAAGATGCAGAAGTGAAAGAAAAGGTAGGAGAGAAAGTGGAACATGAGGGGATCTAAGTCACCTGCATGTGCTGCTCCAATGACCTTTGCCACAGGATCAGTGAAGAGCAGTGGCATGCAGTCAGCTCCTGGTGCTGCTATGACAACGCCTGGCTGATTGGTCACAATCCCGTCATAGCTCTCGGGTGCAGGCTTGCTCATTACCCACACGTCACTGGCATGGTTGACCTGATTGACAAAAAAAAGGTCAGGAAATTTTGTACTGAAAAAAAAAACTTCTGTCTTGGTTAAGACAAAAACACTGAGCTAGGCCACTGAGTCAGAATGAATAGGTTTTAAATGAGTAACTAATTGCTGGGTTATGTTTACGTAAGATTGCAAAACAAAAGCTTGAACCAGAACTGTTTGACAGGAAGTTTATTTCCCTATGCTCCATGGATTTGTTATTCAAAGTTAAAGCTGGTGCAGTGGTAGTAGGTGTACCTTAGCAAGGTGAAACTGGTGAGGCTCAAAGCCAGCCTGCAGTCCAAGCCGTCTAAGGTTTTCAGCCACCACGACACTGGAGTCTCTACGCCTTGAGCTGCTGAACAGGTTCAGAGAGCTTAAGGTGCTGATGTATGAGATCCCTCCTGTTCTTGTGGTGAAACCATGATAAAAGCAATCTTTGGAAGAACAGGAAAAAAAAAACAGCTAGAATGAAAGAACATATCAGTTCAGTAATAAAACTGGAACCTAGTTAGTCTAATAAAGCACATGGAAATCAGGGTTGCTGTACAATTTTTTTTTATTTAAATGTAATGTTTTTTATCATTTAGCATAAATGCTTTAACTCATAAATATACAGTTCATGATTGCACATTCCCTGCACCATCCATTTTTTAGTGTGTTTGACTTTTTTAGTTCTGCCATCCTCTAGCTCTTCTTCAGTGGTCTGTTTCTGACCACAGGACCACTATTGACTGGATAGTTTTGGTGGGCCGTCTGTTCTGAATTAGTTTAATATATACAGTGATTCTTTTTTACCTGGTGTGTAGGCATCAACTTAAAATGTAAACCCTCTAATAATTAAAACAAGACTTTTTTTAAGACTTACATCCTTGTTTATTCAATATATCTTTGGATTGGGCAACAAAGTTAAGCTAAAGTAATAAAAAATGCTACACAGAGCTGGATGATATGGCAAAAATGTCAGCTCATGAATTACAATACTTCAAGAGGTTTTGACAATACAAAGTTTCCACACTATGGTGGGCAAAATCCAATAAATAAACAGGTCTTATTATGTTCTCTTTGTAATCAAACGTGCAGTTGGGAAGTGTTGTCTGAATGCTGACCACATCCACCCTATACCCAAAGAAGCATATTTTGACATTTTGGGACATAATTTGCCACAATAACTATTGTCATATTGCTTAGCTCTAACTACATATAGTAAATAGTATTATCCTACATATTATTGTTTAGCTAGGTAAATGTACACTGTTTATATTTATAAATGAATCAATGATTAATTTATAAATTATTTAATAAAACATGCAAATTTACCTGAGATCATGGAAGATTTCAGAATTGTAATTTCTCCCTTCACCGCTGGGAGGCGCTGTAGAAACGTGCTGATTTCGTCCTTGACATCGGCGCGCTGAGAGCAGGTGAGGGCCAGGTCATCGAGCGGGCAGCGCAGATCATTAAACACGGTGCAGTAGTGGAAACTGTAGACAGGTGTGAAGAGGAGCTCCTCGTACACCTGGAGGACCGCCTGCCGACGGCTGCACGTCAGGACCTGGACATCAGTTGCGTCCAGTGCGTCCGCAGCCAGTTTGAATGAGTAAAGGGAGGCTGCTGCGCTCCTGTTGGTTACAACATGTACACGCCTGTTCAGACGAACGAATCCGTCCAGAAGAGCCGCCTCGGACAGACTGTCCGTTTCCCCGCCGCGGGGTGTGTGCTGGTGAAGGAGGACATAAACTGGCTCCTCAGCGCTGTTACCAATGACTTCTTTTAACCTGCTGACGCGCCGTTCAACGCACCGGCTGTACTGCGGACAGTGAGGATGAAGCAGATCCACAAGAACAACCTTAGCCATTTAGCCAGACCTCAGATTTTTACCCTGCGGTACAAAGTCGTCCTCACACAAGCGGCTGAATCAGCAGAACTGATCTGTACACAGTCAGCAGAAGGGCTGCGTGGCTCCAGGCTAGGCTAATGCAGCAGTTCGTCCATTCTGATGTTTGTAGGCCATTTGGTCTTCAGGTGAGCAGGACTTGTGTCTCCTGTGGCGGTTTTCACATCATATTTAAACCCTCACAGAAGAGGAACTTGTCGTTCAGCACTTGAGTGTGAAAATACAGTAGAGTCCGCACTTCCGGCAACACGGACCGCCCTCAGTGGAAATTCCTCAGAGAAAAAAAGAACACGAAGTGCTAAAGCTACCCACAGCGCGCAGCCTCTCCCAGGAGAGGAGGAACAATATTACTCTGCTCGTTTTTTATCCCACATGAACACAGTTAGAAAACGATAATCTTTCTCGGTTTTGTGCTCCTCACTTCACCGGGCAGCGCTGCCCTTCTAGCATACTAGTTTCGGTTTAGGCAGGGTGACTCCGGCCTTCTGAAACCTGACAACACAGTGGAGCTCATTTTCTTCATTAGCCTTTCACAAATTGCTATTACTATTATTGCTGTTGTCAATTAATAATATACTTTATATTATTTTACAATAATATATTAATTGATAATATATTAGTGATAATAATATTAATGTTTATGTATTTATTACCACAGTAAGCTGTTTGATGTGCAGTATTTGAGTTGAATATGTTCAAAGTATTTATTCAGTAACCTCCACATCATGTTATCCTATTTTTTGTATTATTTAAATATTAGGCTATTAAATAGTATCAACGACATGTAAAGGGCAACAGCTGGAGATTCTCACATATTTTGTGCTGCTTCAACAGCTGTGCAGCCCTTTTGTTCCTGAGTAAGAGGAAATCCCACAGTAAACTGACTAGAAGTGTCACATTGTTCCCCCTTGGAAAATCCACAGTCAGCCGACAGTCACGCTCTCTTAAACCAGTTTACACACTTTGCTCTCAGTTCTCAGTGCTGGGATATACCAGGAATTGAACTAAATGCAGACAATTTGCTTAGCCTAGTGGTGAGATTTTCACCAAAATAACTCAGCAACAGAGTTTTAGTCTGTGTAACAAGATTGAAGAGAGTAACAAGGCTGAAAAAAAATCATATTCCCCAGTAAGTTGATATTTATGCAGTAAAAACATATAAAATATACAGCATAGAACAGAAGGAACAGTTGAAAAATTGTGTTAATTTTTTTGTTTCTACACAAACATGAATGCAGAATTAATTGTGTTAACCCCCAAATTGTGCTGGACTCTGGCCTATTTTGTAGCTACACTCATTGGTCACTTTAGCAGAATCACATATGTGAACTTCTTAGGTTTACAATTACAGACTGTGGCCCATCTCAGCCCCCCTCTAGCCCATCTATCAATAGACTGGACCTTGTAGACCAGAGCTGGAGAGACTGAGGGACTGCCTGCATCAAGTATGATATGCAAAACAACAGATTTCAGTGGTGGAAATGGGTGACAAAAAATACACAAGTATCACTCAGAGACAGAAATAGTTGCATACTGTATATGTTTTTTCCTTCTGTAAATTTATCATTTCGCAGATACAAGATTTGGTTCTGACAGCAGTGATTATATGTATATTATATATTATATATATATATATATATATATATATATATATACACACACACACCAAATAATGACAAAACGATGGGTCATAGCGCCACTTAAATAAATAATAAACTAATGTAGGCTGAATGAGCAGATATATGCAAATCCCTTGTTTTTTCATGACATAACAGAAAATGAACAGGCTGTTTTTGCAGCTTAGTTTCCATATATGGATTACGGGGGAATGAATGGTACATTTTAAAACTTTAACAATGTTTATATACTACATCAAACAGTTTTAATCCAAAAAAAAAGCATGGAAATTGTTTTTCCATGATGCGGGCCCTTTATTGAAATGGCAAACAAAAACCCTTTCCCGCCCCCCCCCACGGGAAACACAAACTAATCACTACTTGGTTAAGCCAGCCAGATATTCAGAGTCATTTCTATGAAGGGGACTCTTGTGTCATCACTAAAGCCACACTATGTACGTTCTGGTGAGACTTCGCTGGTGTAACTGCACACAATGTATGGAAGAACATTTTGTACCATGGGTTGTGCTTTGAATCCCTTCCCCAAAGAGATTAATCTGATAATTGCAAGGGCACTGAAAGAGTGTAGTCTTATGTCATCACTTAAATGGATTTTTTCAGTAAATTAATTTTTAATAGACTGTTTTCCTGTATTTTACAGTGTCTTCCTTTGAAGTTTTTTCCACAATTTAACATTTAATTTACTTGAATGTTTTGTTATTTTAGTCTTCCTTCATCAATGTAACAGATCCTTTATGTAAATTAACATTATTTTAAACCATCAATGGAAGTGCTTTTTGTAAAATTACAGTAGCTTCTGATGACTTAACACTATAACTCCCAGTTTATTAGCAGCAGCGATCTTGTTTTTCAATAAAATTACAATATAAATAACAATATGGGCTATAGCAACTGAAAATTCCTTCTTTGATTGTCATACAGGTCTGTCCTGTCCTCCCTGGAGCCTGAAAATGATAGACAAGAATACACAATAATAAAAAATCTTTTCTTGAATATCAAATAGTCCAAATCATTTCAGTACAACTACATCGCCAGCACTTGTCTTAAACCACATCCATACCTTAATTAAGGTTTATTTAGGACAAAGTATAAATCACTAACCTATAGAAGTGAATAAAACTTACTGTGTAGCTGAAAGCTGTGGGCAACCTTTTTACACCATGCATTTGAAGCATTTACAAACCACCTCAGGAGGAGGAGCACTGATCTAGAACCAGTTTTAATGACAATGAGCATCATAAATGGAGGAACTTGATCCAAATTTGGTCCTCTAATTTACTGACTCTTCTGTAAAAAAACAATCCCGCCAATATCACTGCCTATACTTTAGTTCACAGTGAGCTATACTCCTTTATACTGTCCTTTATGAAGTCTACTATTCTTCCTGATTGGTTATGCTCCTTTTTTAGTTACGCTTTGCTTTTCTGTGTTTACACTCCTCTTTTTGATTTATGCTCCTCACTTTTTTTTAATTTATGCTCTGCATTGCTGTTTACGCTCCTCTGTTTTTGCTGTTTTTATTTATGCTCTGCTTTTCTGTGTTTATGCTCCTCTTTTTTCTGTGAACTTCAGTTTTTACTCCTTTTTGATGTGGGGGGTGGGAAAACAAGAGTGTGCCCTGAGAAGAAGGCGTGTTGTGTACATTTCATCTCATCAGCTGGAGCCAACTTCAAAGCCTGACAGCACAACAGGGTTGAATGCTTATAGCAACAGAATGTATCAGTTAATTCATCTCAAATACAGTATATGACCAAAGTTAGTGGACACCAGCTCATCCGCAGCACACAAGTTGTTCATTCCATCTCACACACAGGATAAAATGTTTCACTCCTGTGTCCCAGCCCCCTGGATTAGAAATGGATCAAAACTGAAGCACAAAGAAAGGAGCACAAACAAAAAGGAGAGTAAAGTGAATAAATAAGCAGCAACAGGTACCTCAGATGAAGTCCCACTCAAATTCTGTAAGCTTCTTCATCAGGGAACAAACATGTGGATTGATGGCCAAAGCCTTTTTCTGAACTGGCTGCCCGGTTCTCTTGCTTATTACTTTGCCTCTGCCTGCCTTTGATCCTCTCTCTAGGTTGATCCTGAAGAAATTTCTAGAAAAAAGAAAGAAATAGCATGCACTATTATCAACTAAAAATAAAAACAGAACACCTTGGAGCTTACATATCATCACTGTCCAAAGAAAAACATGTATCTCCATTTTTGTGGATTTTTAGTTTACTACATCAATTGGACACAGCAGCTGCCCTTCACATTCTGTGAACATTTCATGATGAATGGACCAATAGAAATGCTCTAAAATTACTTGGAATAAAATCTTTTTTACATTGACTCCCATTGAAAGTTAAGAAGTTTTTTGTTTTCTCTTATAAAGTTACTATTTTGGAGACACATGGTTTTCTTTGGACAGCGACTACATGCTTATTGATGTTACATTCAGTATTTACATGTTGACATGTAAATGACAACATCGAAGTAGATATACAAAGTTTAGACCAGATATTCGATTGTTTTCAAGGAAGCAGCGATAAACAATTCTGCTGGCAGCCTTCTGCAGCAGTAAGCAAGACTGAGAGTTAAATTTTTCAAAATTTTGCTGCAGAAGTATAAATTTGATGTTGATTGTTATAGAAGTATAGGTGATAAATGTCTGTAGTAAACCCAGGTGAACCATAATTACTGTTATCACCATAACTTGAAGTTTGATCCCTTGATGTTACAGTACTCAAGAATGGGAAATTAATAATTCATAATTAATTTTACATTACATTATTATTCTGATTGTATCCATCCATCTTGTTGCTGGCCATCCTATTCCTTTTTTACTTTTAACTCTTCCAAGCATAACTGTCTATTCTAGTAAACTGGTTGTTCTCATAATGTACCAAAAATAAGAGAGGTTATTTGGTATTTGAGTGAAATGTGAGGTTTCATTTGGTTGAAAATTTAATTCTTCGTTTTCTTTGTCATCTGAGGTTCTCCCAACACTAAAATTCAAAGGCATCAATATTCTTTCTGTCCCACTTTGTAATTGTCCAGCTTTTACATCCATAACAACAGAGAAGACCTTAGTCTGGACAAATCTGATCTTTGAAAAGACAAATCATAACACTTCAGAGTCAGAGTCAGAATTTTCACAGTGGTAGTAACAGGAACCAGACAGACAAAGCATATAATCTTTCTCAAATTAACATCACCAAGGCGTATTACAAGAAATCATTACAAAATCATTTGACTTTGTTAAAAGCTTAATGATTTAATTATGCAGAAATTTTGCTAAATCTGTAGAATTCCCATTTTTAAATAACTTAATAAAATTCTGCAAGTTGCTTTATGTGCAACACACACTAACACACCACCATCACGTCAGTGTCACTGCAGTAACCCACCATCCAAATAATGCCTGCTCTGTGGTGGTCCTGTGGGGGTCCTGACCATTGTATACAGAGCAACTGATGGACTACAGTCTGTAATTATAGAACTACGAAGTGCTCCTGTATGGTCAGTGGAGCTGATAAAGTGGACAATGAGGGTAGAAACAAGAGGGGTCATAATGTTATGGCTGA